AATTTAAGCGCAGGAATAAATTGCCAGCTAGGTTTCATCGATTTACATTTGAAATTGTTAGATGCAACCATACTAACAGTTTCTTTTTTCGCACTTCTCGCTTGTGAAACTCTCTTCCTTTCCAGTCAAATCTGATTTTCAAAAATTTAAATACAGTATTAATCGTTATCTTAATTCCTGTTATTTTTCTCTTTTTAAAAAGAACTACACGATATTTCGACGCGAGAACAATCTACAATTAATTATACATTGAATAAAGGGTTCAATTTAAAATTCTATGAATGTTATCTGGATCGACAGACGCCTGAAGAAGACTGAATGTCACAAGGACTACAACGTTGTTATAATAAAACAAACAATGGTGAGAATATTAATCCGAATGTAAATAAATACAACCACCCAACAAGCATAGATAAGCAATCTTAAGATTATAACCGTAGATAACGCTCAGCATTAACATTAGCCTCAAGGTAAGAAACTGGGAAGGGACAGTTTCCACTTCTAGTGACCTATATAGACAGTCCAATCTTTATATAACCCGGTAAAGAAATATCAAAGCCTGAAAGTCAACATCTAGTGTTGATCCCTATGTTCTACCCCCTCTCTCTCTCTCTCTTTTTATATATATATATATATATATATATATATATATATATATATATATATATATATATATATATGATAAATTAAAGAACAAATAGGAAACGTATATCAATCTAACACGTTCATTTTCTTAAACTTTTCCCAATTTCTAATGTTTCACTTTTATTAAGTTTCTCTCAATCTCTGTCAAAATTTTAATAAAAGTGAAACATGTTAGATTGATATACGTTTCCTATTTGTTTTTATTTTATTATCCTGACGGATTCGATCCATGTTTGATCTGCATTTGATCTTTAACTCATATATATATATATATATATATATATATATATATATATATATATATATATATATATATGGATAATTAAATTATTATCCGTCTTCTTCTTATCATATATATAATGGATAATAGTAATAATGGACTCTCCCGTCGGTTTCGACATATGATTATCTGATAGCTTAATTGATTCAGTTATGAAATTTTGTGCGATAATCTTAAGTGGCACTAACTAGACCCGCTAGTTATTTACAAAGGAGGCAGCATATGGAGCAAGAGTAAGTATATATATATATATATATATATATATATATATATAATGAAAGAAAAACTTAAAGGATTCATTTCGGTTATAATTTATTTCGTGAATTTCTCTTTATATTCATCTCTTCAGACCGAAACCTTTTAATAAATGGAGACAATTTCCCTGGACTCATATACTAGATTGACAGGGGAAAGAAAAAGCAAGAGAGAAGAGAACAAAGGAAGGTGACAGATTGTAAAGTTCTTTTTTTTTGTAGAGGGTTTTCAAACTTTTCAATAGAACACCAAAAACATACACAGCATTTTATGACGGCAAAACAACAGAAAACAAACCCTCTTGTAACTGCAGAACAGGGACCAACTGTCCAGTTGGATGTACCTGTAATTCGGATAATGTGGTATACCAAGCTACCATTTTTACGAAAGAAAACATCAATGACAAAACATGCATAGGGATATCCGTTGGAAATTGGAAACAGAGACTCTACGATGACCAACATTCCTTTTCCATTGTTTCCTTAAGACAGCAACCTGCTCTATCTAAGCATTATTGGAAGATTAAAGATAGAGGTTTCACCCCATAAATTAAATGAGGCATCATCTGTCGGTCTCAAACCCTCAGCAACTACCAGGACATATTCAGTCTATGTATACAGGAGAAAATTGCAATAACCAAATAGGGAAATGCTAACCAGTTGTTGAATCAAAGGAACGAACTGATTTTCAAGTGTAGACGTAAGAACACATTTAAAATTTCCTAAAAGCGTTGGCCTTTGCGGGATACACACATTGATGTTGATTCGTTGCTAGTACATACAAGTGTACATGTATTCATGGGTATATATACATATGTGTGTATGTGTGTTTGCATTGCGTATTACGCATTTTTGTGTTTTGTAGTTGGATTTATGATTGTTTTTTGTGTAATGTAGTTGGATTTATGATTGTCTTGCCGACGTATTCAACATCTATAATTCTAAATTAACATCTTTTGTATTTTTATCCATACATCATCTTACTCAGTTTTTTTAAAAAAAATTTATTGTTTATCTTTATTTAAAATCCCTTCATTTATGTTTGATATTTTTATTATTATATTTATTATTTTTATTAAGAGCCTCTTATTAGACTAAGTAATTTGAAATTGTGTTGATTTGGCCTGCCTAAAATAGCAGGTCATATCGGTCAATTTGCTGTACAGCCCGATATACAAATTTCCATAGTTTAGGAAAAAAAATTCTTGGCGTGGTCAGTCTATTTTAGGTTTACTACTCTACCTTCGTTTCTTCCTTCTTCCCTTTCTTTTCTTTACCCTCTCTCCCCGATCTCTCTCTCTATTTCACGTTTTAAAAAGAACTTTACAATCTATCACTTTCCTTCTTCCTCACCTTCTTACTTCTCTTCTCTCTTGTCCCCCCCCACCTCAATTTAGGATATCAGTCAGGGAATTTGTCTCTATTAAAGGCTTTCTGTCTGAAGAGGTGAATATATATAGATATTCACGAAGTAAATTATAACCAAAATGAATCTTTAAGGTTTTCTTCTTTGATTTATTATTATTACAATGCTCTGTAGTTTACATTGAGCTCTCTCTCTGGATTAATATCCTCCTTGGAATTATCCCTACCACTCACAACCTTGCCATGCGCCAACGGCTTAGTGATAGAATCCCTGACTGACGCCAATTCAGTCGGGTTTCAATTCTAGCTAGAGGCAACCGGACGTCTAGTCACACTGATGAGCTATGATACAGCGAAACAGTCTGTCTGTGGATGACAATATATATGCCCCTGAAAAATTTATTTCAGTTGAGCTCTCTGGGGAGGAAGTGTGTGTTTGTAAAGAGTGACTATTACGGCTAATAATGCAAGACTCTTCGGTAAATCAAATCGTTCTCTCAGTCACTGTGTGTTTATCTAAAATAAATACGCTTAAATTCACCTTTATCCTTGCCGTGCGCCAACGGCTTAGTTGTAGAATCTCCGTCTGACGCCAATTCAGTCAGGTTTCAATTCTAGCTAGAGGCAACCGGACGTCTAACCACACTGATGAGCTCTGATACAGCGAAACAGTCTGTCTGTGGATGACTATATATATATATATATATATATATATATATATATATATATATATATATGACAAAGTGGGAAAAGTTTTCTTGTGACGCGTTTCGCATTAACAGCATCTCTCATTCGTGCGCATGTGTAGTCGCACCAACATAACAAATTTAGTCCGACGAAAACTTCATCGTACTAAATTTTTTTTTAATGTTGGTGCGACTAGTCATGCGCACGAACAAGTCATGCTGGGAATTTAAAATTTTAAAATTGACTGAGTCTTTAATTGTAGTAGTAACAAATTTTATGTTGAGTTTAGACAGATTCTTTCTAATTGTAGATATGATAGAGTTAGTTGGTAGGACAATATATTTTTTTGATTTATTTGGTTTGTCAGGAGGGGCCGTTTTTCTATTTTGTAATATTTTATGAACCTTTTGTTTTACATTGATTATAAAATAATTCGGGTAATGAACAATCTTGAAAGTGTTTCCCATGTATTTATCCTCTTCATGTAAATATTGAGGGCTGCAAATTCTGAATGCTCTTAAGCAGAATCCGATGATTATACCGGATGTTATTTTGAGAATAGAAATTTATTAGATCGTTTAAAACTTGTTTAATTGATCAGAATTTTGACATAAAAATGCTACTCTGATCGATGGAGAAACGATTTACTACGACGAAAATATCTAGAGAGTGCCTTAATCACAAGGTCATCTACAGTAAATGTGCGCCCGGATTCTTACAGCATTCACCATTCCTGGCAGGACTTCTATTATTCCAGTGTGGAATACTTACTAACAAAAGTGATAGAAAGAAGAAGAAAAAGTAATCTTTATCTAATATAGATTTAGTGGTGACTAAGTATATACCTTTAATATTCATTTGAATGGATGTCCAATTACGCATCTTATGACCAAGAAGACCTTCCAAAGAATAAATAGATACAAATCTTATACTTCGTCATTTACTAAGCGTATACAGAATATGACTTTATATATTTCTCAGTCAAGCATCCAGATCGACTCAATTGAGATAATAAGATATTCTTTTGGTGTAATCACTTTAGCTCTGATGAAATGATGATCCCTCTCTTTCTGTTGTGACCTCTTGATTCATTTCGTTGCTATAATAATAGAGATGGTAACTTGTTTGTTAATTTTTGTTACACGATGAGACGATTTATATATGAAAGCTACCGAAAAATGAATACCGGCTAAAGGATATTCTTATATTCTTATTCTGATATTCTTAGCATAATTTTTGGACATAGTTTACCATTAAAAACCTATAAAAACGGGAGAATATGTAGACTCAATTTTGAAATAATCTATTTACATTTGTACAAACAATTTTTATCTACTGAGCAACTGAACTATCATCTCCAGAACACTTCTACCCTTGAACGTATCAGAGCCATATACATAAATATATGATATTTTGGTATTGTATATTAATGTAAATATGTACCAAACATAGAAATGTTTATGATAATAATGATGACAATAATCTGCGAGGCTGGTTCGCTAAGTATTACTCTCTCTTCGGAGGTCACATTACAAAGTAAAGGCTTCAGATAGAGAGTAATGAGCGAGCAAAAACTGGCGTTCTCGACCCAATATGGCCCATTGTCTTCAAATAAACTGAAAAAAAAACTCTTGCTTCACAAAACTTAGCCTATCTCCTTCCCTCAAATCAAGAAAACGTTTATTGTGTATTCAAATGATATATATATATATATATATATATATATATATATATATATATATATATGAAAAGAGAGTGTTATAACTTACCGATTCTTTGATTTTTTAGTTCGATGCAATGACCATCATCACATTTTTCCGTTTTCCAAGGAAGTTCCCAGAGTCCGTAGGTATAGTAACCTTGGTTGTTGCTCTCCCATACAAATGGGGATCGCCACCAGGTGGGCAAAAAAATCCCCACAAACTGAAGTCCTGTGGCCAACACTGTAAGGATGGCCGATGTTGAGATAAATACTATCATTTTGAAGGGAAAAGTAGAAAGTGAATTTAAAAGTTGAATGTCACTTGAACGCTTCTAGTTATGTTATTCATCAAAGAAAGACTTAATTCGGTAAAACTCCATTTCGAGATGACAACGTCTAGAAAGTTATTTGCTTACACAGAGAATAAGTTTCCAAGAGAATGGAGATATTCGTCTTGGATATGTAAAAACGTAAAAATATCTTAAATATTACGGTTTAGAAATTATTTAGCATTAATTTGGATCTTCGATGTAATTTGGCTTCAATATAATATATAATGTTCAATACTTGTTTATTTTTTGTTTTGATAATCTAACAAAAAAAAAAAAGAGGTTTTAAGTATTTTTAATGATCGGCAGGTAATAGATATGCTAATGTTTATTTTATTAAAATGAATATTCGATTAGCAACATAATTATGACGAGATCCTAAGTGTTTATTGATAAAATGTAGAACATTAATCAGTTTTCCCCCTGTAAAAAAATGTCAAACTTTTATGAACAAGGAAAATGATAAAGAAATGAAATAAAATTTTCTGAAAAAGGCTGCGGTAAAGCTTTTGTTAAAATCTGTAAAAGAAAAAGATTTTTCATCTTTTTATCCACCTGGAAAATATTTTTTCATAAAAATATAGATTTTCTGGATCAAGTGAAATAAGTGTCTTTTATGTCTTTTCACAATTTTAATCGGAAATAATCCTTGTGGGTATGAAAAATTTACTTTTCTTTCTTCAACGAAGCCATAAAAAACAAATGTTCCAATCGAGTAAATAATCCGCTCATTTAATTTTTTTTTTGTTTCGCCAGCCAGCTCAAACTTTGAAAATTTGCAGCTGTCGACATTCGGCCGAAACTCCAGCTAAATAGATCAAATGCGTGTGTTTCTCTCTGGGATCACCATTCCTTCGAGCACCTGGCGTAGTAGTAGTTGTAAATTTACAGTCCACCCAATATTTTTCTCAGGTAGATATTTACATTGAAATCTTCACTGAAAATAAATCAAAAGGGCCGTCGAAGTCAACAAAGTTAAAAGTAAAACAACTCACAGGCAATGAAATACAAAACAACATTAACAAACTTCTTTGTACCAGGTACCTTATTTACGAAAGGTGAGAAATTTTCAGATATTGACTAGGGGCAGTTCAGTCGTAATTGCTGACAAATAGGACCATCCTGTAAAGCATTTTAGACTAACTTAGACAGCAGAAGCAAACAATCGTTACAGTTTCGTCTTTACCTGTCGTCACAATGTTGCAGGTGTGGACACCTGGACAACAGGCTTGACGCATGCGTATCGAGCACACTTTAGTCTTTTTTCATTGAACGTTTCTCCTCTTCCGCGCCACAGCGAAGCTGGGGTCGGCCAACAAGGAGAACAATACTCAGATGAAAACTGCAAAAAATACATTTGCGCCTTTTCGCAAGAACCATTATAATAATTCCCCTTCTTCCATTGTATGTCAACGCCGTATTTATTTTTTGATTTCTTTTTTATTTTTTTGCTTCTTTTATCAGCAGGTGAAGCCCAATTGAAGACAAACAAAAAATGAAAAAAAGACGAAAAAAATAACAACGTAGCTACACACGCATAGACATTATGGATTACTACATACATACCCACTTCCTCTCTCTTTCTCTCTCTCATACACACGTGGGTGCGCGTGTACACACACACACACACACACTGTTTAGTGTTTTTACTTTTGTTTTATTTGTTAATGAGTTTCTAATCGTGTTTGCCTCGGGGCTGAGATAAATGAACATCTGAATGTAAGGGGAGATTAAACAAATCAAAAGAAAACGTAATCAACGAAAACAAATAGAAAGAAATTTGAAGCGAGTAAATAACTGATTAATATCCCACCCTTCACTCCACCTGCACATCATCGAATATTGATTTGTTTCGTTAAGAACAATTTCGACTCTATCGTCAAAGATATCTTTAGCAAATTGCTTTTAGTTTTAACTTTATCAATTATTCAATCTAATATTCTTATACACTTTCGACAACTACGTGCATCATCAGTATGTTTTCCACTCTTCCTCGGGTGACTATTATCCGACAATCTTCAAAGATCTTCGAATAGAATTCTTTATTTTTTCTCAACGTTTCCAACTTTTCGCCTGACTTTTGTGAAAACAATTCACAAATCAGCGCGACAAATTTATCTGTCAATGGTAATTATTTTTTTTTACAACTTCTCGTAATATATGTATTTTTATTATTTAGTTTAGCATAAGGTTTGGTATGTAGAGGATGGGAAGAATGTGTTGCGTTAGCGTTTCAAGTGAGAACAGCATGCCTGTCTTGAAAATCATACAAAAACCAGGGATTTTTTTCAACGCGTACTTCTGGCACCGGTGGGAATACGCAACCTCCTTCACCACCTAGAATATTCTTTACTCAAGGATTTTTTTGCACTGTTGCATCTGTTGCTATTAGATCATTCTCCAAGAAGTCTTCATTAAGTGAAATTTGTTTTCATAGATTTTAATTGTTGGTTACATTTGTTGTCTACAGAGATTTGGTATTAGTTTTTATCTCCAGAAGATGAAATATTCTTCTTTATGAAGAATCATATTTTAAAATATCATATTTTGAAAAAAAAAAAAAGAAGGTACTTGAATGGCGAAATGATAAGAAACATAAAATCGATTGTTTCTAAAAGGACCTCAGATGAGAATCCTGGAAAAAATTGCTGGAGAAGAAAGGACGCAGTTTAAATGACGGGAAATATTTCCAGAAAGATCTAAATGAAGATCTAAATGAAGATCTAAATGAAGATCTAAATGAAGATCTACCCCACAGATATAGAACGACTTGATTAAAGTGGGTTTAAGAGTTGATTTTTGTTCCTGGAAAATTCAAATTATTGATTTTGGAATTGCTTTTCGACTCGGAATCTATGCGCCTCCTTTGATGCAAATAAAGATGAAAATCAACTTAGAAAAAAGGTGAGATATTTTTTATAAGTGAACGTCTATTTAATTACAATATTAAGGATAAGCCTATTTAGACTCGAGTCCTACAGTCTTACCATGAAGGTAATTCCACAAAAAATAACCTTTTTAATATTTATAAAATTCTCAGATGACAACTTTGTTAAATGTGTGCTTTAAATGATGCTTCTCTTAGTCGCCAGAATCCTTTTTGGGAGAGAGTACCTCACTATGAGCTAATGGTTAGCGAGCTAATCTACTTTCCCAGAAGTACTGAATTCATTCTTCACAGAGTGCCTCGTACGTCTGTTCATATACCAAACTAGGTCCTAAGCAGTTACTTGGACGAAATCTTTCTGTTCTGAATAATACCGCTTTCGGTGTAATATCATATGTGGATTTCTTTTTTTGTTTTAAGTGCATCGGATAAGCCGAAAAATACAGTTTATATATTTAAAATTTGTTACACTTATAGGTGAAGGAAGAATGAATTCAGTACTTCTGGGAAAGTAGATTAGCTCGCTAACGATTAGCCCACACTGAGGCACTCTCCTCCGGAGAGCATTTATTATAGGTATATAGGCAGTATCAACGCACTTTCTAGCTATCTGTAACTTAGTTTTTAGTTCGTCATAAACGAGGAGAAACGACAACAGGAAGATTGTATTACGCCAATCTTCCCAGTAGAGAGATCATTTTAACTGTATACATGACTTTTTATTGGGCTAGAATACCGGCGCCATTTAAATCTGAGTAATAGAAGAAAAGAAAGTCAATTTCTAGGAGTCTGCCTGATTTGCAACTCCATGAAGGCGGTGATGGTGTCAGCTTTGTCAGTGCGTGTGTGCTTGCGCTCATGTGAAAACGAAAAACGACTGATAGGAAAAAATAACTGTGACACGAATCGGCTGCACTCTCCGAAGTATCCCCTACTTCGATTCACTATCATATTACACTTACTCTTATTATCTGGCAATGAGATTAAACCTTTTGTTTTTATGGGATCATTCGAAAAGATTTATTATCTAAAAACTTAAAAAGCGATCTTTTCTTTTTGTGCAATGTCGCCAAAAAAGAAATTAAAATCGTTTGCATTTTCTCAAAAAAGACATTTCTTTTATTTTTTATGCACAGGGGATAATTCTTCTTCACTGGGAAAAGATGGAGCTACAAGGAGTGAGTCAGTAGATAATAGTATTGTTTTTAGGATATTTATTTATATTAAAATATATTTCGCATGAAAAACTACACCAGGAAAATTTAACAGTCCAGGGGAAACAACTCTTTAAACTTTATTAGTTTAAAGAGCGATTAAAAATACTTAATGTTATTTGGAAACTTTGATTTAGATTAACGATAGAAATTAACGTTAAATATTAAAACCCAGTTAATCTGGAGAAACTGTAAAAAATGAATCCGGGGGTGTGAATTGGCTTAGTTGGACATTCCCCCCACCCAAGTGTTTAAGAAATAAATGTTGTCGGTAATAAGGGTAGTTTAATTTCCCGACAGGAGATAACGCAACTTAACGAGTAGATAAGTTCGCCTATCGCCCGGTTCACACTCTTTCCTCATCTTTTGAATAGAAGGTTTATTCATTGTTTCCTATTTAGGATGGGGTCTCCGGTTACCAATTCTGAGGCCCTACTGTCTTAATTTTCTTGGCGATACAACTGGCTGGTTGCTACGACTCTTTATATTTAGGGAGACCGGTGTGAAAGTTTTCTGGTTCCTGCATTCCGATTGGAAGTAAGGAGCCCGAAGTCTTTCGTAGCGCTTGGAGAGGCTGCTCTGGTCAACAGACACATAATATCGGGTTTCTTGGGTGCTATTTCGCGCATGGATAGGTGTTCCAGCAAGCCCTTCTGGTGGGCAACCCTGGAGCTACATTATACTGTAGTCCTCGCCTTGTATTGCCTTCTTAGAAAATCGGCAGCGATTGTTATTCTTGGCCTGCTTCACTCTAAAATATTTGTATGACTACATAAAAATAGAAGTAAATCCGTTTGTAAAAAAAACAAACAAACCCTAAACCCCTCAACTTTTCTTTCTCTAACATTTGTAGTATTCGTACCAACTTCTAAAGTCTAGAATCTTTTCTCTTGGAAAGTTCTCCAGATATCCAAGGGCTCTGTGAAAATCCTCAATCACTACCAATGAATTCTCTGTTCCGGACGATCTTCCACTTTATCGAAAGGATTCTAGGCTGGCCTCGGTGTATATGTTCGGTAAATTTTCCCAATGGCAAGGGAATTGATTCTTGAGTCTTCCGATTATTCTTATATGTGATTTCAACTTTCACTATTAAACTGTGTTAATTATCTCTTCGTGCAGTTTCCCTTCTTTACAAGACTATAGCTTGTTAGATAGAATATCTGACAGTATAGAAATAGCTCTCTCTACATTCGTCTAGAAATATCTTTGTGTTTAGCGACTTCAATGCGAATCATATCAAGTGGCTGTATTCTAATATCACTGATCTTGCTGGCATCCAGATCGAATTTTTCAGTTGCTCAATCTCTCAGTAAGTAGATTTCCTTACTTACTTGAATTACTAATTCACACTTCTTCACTTGATCTGTTCCTTACATTTGTCAGGCTTTGCAACTCTTGAAAACTGGTAACACGCTGTAGGGTTTGTAGATATTTCTTTTCACTCGCCTATTCGGCAGGATTCTCTTATTCACAAAAGATCATTTTGTTACCAATTCACTGATGGGCATGCATTTCTTGATTTTCTTCGCAACGCTCCATGGAATGAAATTTTTCATCTTCCCATTGAAGTTAATGTCACCGAGGTTTCCTCTTGGGTGAAAGCTGGCATCGATGCTTCCGAGCAATCGCGGAAATATCAAGTGAAACCGAAATTTTTTCCTTGGTAGGCATGAGTGATCCAAGGAGAGTATTGCAGTTTCATTTGATATTTCCTCATCTCGTTTACAGGAATAATTTCTTCAGCTATACAAGCGTGATAATTTGGATCGTAACAGACACCTCGTTGTTTCCGCTAGTAATAATTGTAAGCGTGTTCACAACGAATCTAAATAGCTTTTTGCTGATAGAATAAGGCACTGTGTAACCTGTCACAATTTTGGTTCTCATGATTACAGCTCTGTAAGCGTGTGTTAAACAAGTGTGAATCCTCAATCATTCCTCTCTAAATCAGTTTGAAATTCTGTCATCTGCTGCTTCTGATAAAGCAGAATGTTTTGCTTATAAGATCTCTTCCAGTTCAACTCTCGGCTCTTCAGGATTATCTTTGCCTGATTTTCCTCCTAGAACTGAATCTACACATAATATATACATAACTACATCCATAATTTCTGCTATCATCGTCAAATAAAACCACACATGTTATGCAAACTTGACGGTATTCCTGCAATTGTCCTGAAGAGTTGTATTCCTGAACTGACTCTTGTTCTCTCTAGGTTTGCGGGGAAATCTGTCCCGGCTTTCCCGCATCCAAGGGTTGAGGTTAAAAAATTGGGTTGAGGTAAAAAAAAATTGCGACAAAACGCGAGTAAAAAACAAGATTAGGGCGGGAAAACTCTCTCTTTTAGGCGTGGATGAATAAAGAAAAAACTCCTGCTCGGTGTGTAACAATAAAAGAAGAAAGTGTTTATTTACATATACAGAAAAAAAGGGTAAAGGAATAAATACAATTAGGAGTGAAAGAAAGGGAGAAGAGAAAATGTTCATAACAGAAAAAAGGCTTGCTTAAAATATTTCTCTGAGCGCCTAAAAGTTCTTTAAGCGAGTAGAATTTTGTTAAGGTTTAGAAACACTCACAGTTCTTGTAGAATAGGAAAATTGTTGTTAGATATAGGAATTTCTGCAGCTGAGTGAGTTCGTAGGTCGACGACAGAGGTCCAGTGGGCATGTCAGAAGGAGTGGTGAACGGATGCAGCTTTGAATTGGTCTTGAATTGTGGGCCGACGTTCGTTCTTGACAGCCCTTTAGTAGGTAGTTCTTCTTTGGTTTAAAGTGGTTCTGAAGTTGAGTGTTGCTTCCTATCGTCGACCTCACAGACCAAATAGGCAAAGATTCTCCAAATTTATGGAGATTTGGTAGGCTCAGAAGAGTCGGGGACTTTTCCCTCCAAAATTGTTAAACAAATTTCCTGGCCCCTTCATTGGTCAGAAAATATATTCTTATCTCTGATAAGAATCAGGGCTCTGGGAGCCGGTTTTGAAAGTAATGAAAACAGGTTGGAGTGAACAAGCTGTGAGGTTTCCCCTAGACTGTATGGCCCCATGGAAAGAATAATGGTGGTGGAATTCCTTTTTATATTTTCCAGCTCACTTGTTAGTCAGAAAATATATTCTTATCTCTGATAAGAATCAAGGTTTTGGGAGCCGGTTTTGAAAGTAAAAAGAGGTTGGAGTGAAGATAGAAAAAATAGCGAGAATGTGATCTTGTAAAATATTGTTCTCAAATTAAATTCCAACAAGTTCTATCAAAAATGCCTTAGCTACTTCCTGCATTCGAGCTTCTTGTAAATCCTCTTCTGTATTTTTAGTCTTTAAGAACTCTAATGAAGCTTCCGATCCTTCGAATTATCGTCCTATTTGTCTTCTACTTCCTCCTCTTGGCAAAGTACTACAGACTTAGAATTGGGTAATCATCTCACGGCCATTTTTCAGACAAAAAATATATGATATTCGCCTTTCTCGATTAACTGCCAGTGTATTAACGATTATTACTGAAAGAGTATGCTAAGCTTTAGATGCAAACAGCGAAGCTCGGTCTGTGATTTTAGTTATCTCGAAGGCGTTTGACAGTGTTAGGCATGACGGTATTTTTCACAGACGGAAGGGCTACGTTGCCTCTGGTTGAATTTTTTTAAAGATCCAATCTTTCTTAACAAATCAAATAATGAAATACGTATCTTCTAGATGTGTACCTCGTTCCTCACCCGGACGGTGCTCTATTCTTGGACTTACTTTGTTTCTTATCTTCGTCAATGACCTTTCCGATGTCATCAGTTCCCAACTCGGTATGCATGCTGATAAAATAACTATTTACTCCTGTCCTAATAGTAAATCTGATAAAATAAAACAAAACTGGCAGCTGACCTCAAAATGGCCTTCTATCTGCAAACTGTAACACCTCTAAAAACAAACTGCTGTCTTTTAGTCATTTTAGAGAACCATCTTGCCTTCCATCATTATGGGTGATGCCAACTTTTAGGAGAGCAACTCAGTGTACCTTTTCAATTTCACCTTTTCCACTGAAATGTAGGGGAACAATTATATTAAATCAGTTGTTAGGTCTGCTTCTAAGCAAGTTGCTTCTCTGTGCCGTGCAAGATAATTTTTCTTACAAGAATTCTTCTTGTACGCTTACAAATCTACTATTAGTCAGTGCATATAGTTATATTGTTATCACATGCTGGTCTGCTGCTCCTGCTATATATCTTGAGATGCTTGATAAAATCCAAAGAAGGGTTTACGGTGTTATTGGTCCTGACCTTGCATCTTGACACCAGTCATTTTCCCATCAGCGTGACGTCATTTCCCTCGATCTTTTTTTTTTTTTTTTTATAAATAATTTCATGGCAAATGGCCTGATGAGTTTTCATTCTTGGTGCCGCGACTGCCTGAAGTTTAGTATAGTACTAAATTGGAAAGTAAGTCATCTTTTTTACTGTTCAAATAACTGGATCTAACCGTAAGTTCTATTCTAAGAATTCATTTTCTCACAGTTCTCGATTGTGGAATTCTTTTCCGGTTTCTTGTTTTCCTGTCACCTAGAATCTTCAAAAATTGAAATAAAACATAAATCACCATTGTCTGTCTTCCTGATTCCTGTTCTTGTATGGTATTTTCTCCTCATTAACGTTTTCTCATCTTTTTTCACAAGCAGTAAAAAAACAAAAACAAAAACAAAAAAAAAAAAACAACAAAAAAACCTTGCTTCTCAGTGCCAGTATCACCTTGCTTAGGGAGGGAATGATTATGGAAAACCAAAAAAAAAAAAAAAAAAACCAAAAAAAAAAGACAAAAACAAAACAAAAAAAAGCAAAAAAAAAAAAATAAATTTATATTTGGTGATTGTGAAATGATATTTGAAATCAATATTTATAACATTTTCTGAAAATGTGTTTGACTTTTCAATGAAATGTGCCTTATTTTTATTCATATAGACATTCGGATGATTCAGCGCATGTAATATGCAATCAAGCTTCATATTTGGTTTTGTGTGATTCCTGCAAATCTGGCTAATTCTATTGTTTCTCTTTTTTCAAATCATCATTCATCATAAAACTTTTTTTCAAATCATGAAAATACGACTATTCTTTGTGTATGAGCTTAAATTGTAATAAAAGAATAATCTTCGTTTAGGTGCCGTGTTACTTTATGACATAGGCGATTACGGGTTCTCGGCAAATTCCTACGTTCCTAACCCTGCACATAGTTTGTCTCCTTATATTCATACCAGTGCATGATTTGCCATTCTCGTTAGGTATGTCACTCACTATTTCGCTCTGCCCATCTTACCTTCAATATGTCCTGTGAGTGTCAAATGTCCTCCCTATATGTCCCAGAAAGTCCAATTCTCTTTTTTGTCCTAACCTTTTCGTTTCTATTATCCTGAAAACTAAGGAAGAACTAATAACAGAGAAATAGTGCACAGTGTACCATAAAATCTCTTAACAGTCCTCCTTTGTTTTGATTTCAGAGTTTTCATTCTCCGAAATGATTTCCTCCTGAGAAAGAGAGAGAGAGAGAGAGAGAGAGAGAGAGAGAGAGAGAGAGAGAGAGAGAGAGAGAGAGATAGAGAGAGAGAGAGAAAGAGAGAGAGAGAGAGAGAGAGAGAGAGAGAGAGAGAGAGAGAGCGAGCATTACTTCTTTGCAACGAAAAAATATATGACATTATTTATGATAAAATAAACGACTTTACATTGCAATAATGTTTATCTGCAGCTAGTCAAAATCCGACATACAAACTAATTCTTATGCGTACATATTTAGTAATTTTTAGAATGTTTATTGAAAACCAAGATATGGAATTTAAATCTATTGATAGAAAATTTGATTTGATTAATGACTGAAAATTAAAAGATATTTCATGAAGAGAGTCATTTTGTTTTGTTTTTCTCATTGAAATGTAAGGAAATAAAAAATTGCTGGCTTGAATCTCAAATTATTTTTGCCTTCTCCACACCTCAATTGATATTAATCAGATATTTTGAAGTGTGACAAAAAGCATGACATCACGTTGGACCAAACACGTTCAGAAATAAAATTCCGCCTCATAATTTAAAAAAGCATTTTACAGATAGACCAGAATAAAGTGGATTAAAAAGGAGTAAATGTGGAGTGGTAGAAATTTGAATTGCCAAATGTCCTTGACTGGTTGGAGGTTGATGATTTTAAAAGTATAAGAATTACTGTCAGTGTCTATAATGGTTGGCTCGGAATTGAAGTTGAAAATGTATCTTCATGGAGAGATTTGTGATAATGAGCCTAACCTATCTGACATATGAGCGTTTGGTCAATGTTTTCTTCTTTGTGATATACATATGCCTGTATTAGCAGCTGGGGACAGACAAATTTACAGAAAGGTTTTGACAAGTTCATTTAGACATACAAATAGCATCACTATTCAATTAGTAAAAATAAATCTCTGGTTATCTATGATCTTACAAAACTGTTTAGATAATATTGTATTCCAGAAAAAAATCCATTTTGGATTCGATGAGTTTGTCAAGGTGTTTTATCAATGATATGAACTTGAAACCATTGACAAGAAAAGAGGTTTTGCATAGACTGAAAGTGAAAAGGCTGGGAAATCCATTGCATACAGAAAGTCTTCCCGTTGTACCCCAGTGATCATTTGTTGCGTTGTATTTACACATTGAAGACAGTCGTTGTTATGCAACAAAATCACCGATCATTTTTCTTGTCCGGAATTGATGGTTTCGTCAAATGCAATATTCAAAAGAACTGATTGTATTATCCAGCTTCCAAGTCGTAATAAAAAATACATTTAAATCCAACTAGCGAAGAACATTTGAACTTTTTAGATTTCGTTTCAATCGAATTATTGATGGTTATCTTGGATCTTGTTACTATTTTTTTTCATTTTTGATTCTCATAAGAAATTCCTTTTTCGCCGTCGTTGACTACTTTTCTGTGACAAGCAAGAGGAAAAGCTTTTAAACATTGAGCGATCATTTTCTATAAATTCGTGTGGAAGTTATCTTTCTATAACGGTGTATTATAGTTGAACTTGACTGATTGCACAAATAATAAAAAAACGAAAATAGACTACAAAGATATTTCGAAGATTTCTCTTTCATTATGTAAATAAAGGGCTGAAAACTTTGGCATCGATCTAATATTTGTGAATATTTCTTAGAAAAACAACAACAAATATTTCGAATGCAGCTATTTTCCAATTTTTTAGTGAAAAGACAAAAAAGCTTAACTATTCGCAAGGTTGATTCGAAGTAAGATAACGATGGAGGGAACTCTCGCAGCTTATAAGAAAAAGACTAAACTTTTACACAGTAAAAAAACATTTATTATGTTAATAAGAAAAAAGAAGATAAAACAGATTCAAATAAGAAAAATACTTTTAATGCTCATTTTTATGCAAAAATATTGAAATATTAGTAAGAATAAAAAAGGATTTAGTAAAACGCTGCGAGAGCGAATATTGCTTGAAGTTCTTGGATAAGTATTGTCATTATTTTAAAAATGTTCAGATTAATGTCCACATCATTGTTTGTTCGATCCCTACTTTTGTCCAGTATGTTCTCTAGCATTCCATCTCACCCAGTCCCAACTTCTAATTAAAAAACAACCCCCCCACCAAAACAAAAAAACAAAACAAAACGAAAAACATATAAATAAAAATAAAATAAAATAAATATAAAAAAAAGTAAAACAATCAGTCGATAAAATAATCTTAAGTGCGGATCAAATATTTTTTGCTGGAATTTATAATTTCTTTTAAGTGAGGAGAGAAAATGAGTTTTGAACAAGATTTTGTTAAGTTACAAAAAGCCACAGATATCCTAGAAAAACTGTAAATAATAGTGGATGAAGTATGATAATAAAATTGAGGTTATTAATTCGAATAATTCTTGCAACACAACAATATCGAATTAAAACATTGAACACGGTATGAAGATTGTTGCTTAGATGAAGAACATTTAACTTTGATACAAGAAAATACATTAGAAAATGTATTTTCTTTTATCAAAGTTAAATGGCGCTAACGGAAACTCAGAAGAGAGAGATGTCTATCGAGAAAGATTCTATTAATTAATGGAAAAGATTCTTTGGGGTGGGAGGAATGAGGTTCAGATCCAATATGAAAATGTCTATTTTTTAGAAAGAAATTGGATAAAACTTTTCTTGGTCTCGTTTCTACAGTATTTAATGTGAAATATTTTTAAAATGCATTCATGCGTTGATTTGTTCGTGTTAGAAAGAAAGAAGCTAACCTAAATTATTTGGTTTTGTAGAACAACCTAACATCTTGGCATCTCTAAATGTTTCTCCGGCTTTATTGTTCCTGCTGTGTATTTGAACCTTTGTTATTTGTTGATGAAAGCAGACGTTCATTCACATTCTTCTTGTTGCCAATATCTGATAAAAGCAGCACCAATGATACAAAAGGTTCCTGCAAAACCACACAGAGTTCCTCCCCAGCTTGTCAGTTGTGGGTCTACCTTTCCAATCATGATGGTCACACCCAACAAATCTAGAATTCCTACAATAGAAGAAAAAAATGAAAATCATTATTTTCCGAAATCATTTACAAGAAGTGGTTAGTGGTGTGGTTTACAAGTTTTTATATAAATGCCTATTCCCATAGGTTTTAGAGATCAACGTTCCAACCCAAGTGAAAACCCTAAAATTTGGATGCTGATTTTCAAAGCGAAACTTGGAAGATTGTCGCACTTACCCATTTTGTCTTAGTAAATATCAAAAAACTGTTGATGCAAAAGTTGAAATGAGGATGGTATTAAAATTCTAACTGCAGAGTCTCGTTGAAAATATCATACAAAGTAGATTTGAAAAAAAATATTAATTGTAAAATTTGACTTTAATTTCATGAAATCTGTGATGCAAACATTTTATTGTTTTTCTCTTTAATTTTGAAATTTCCGTATCTGTGAATAACTCTTTTTCATACACTCTGTTTTTCAAGAATTTCTCTTTTTTATCATTTCATTTCAAGCAAGTCAATAAAGCAGCTTAAAGTTACTGAGATTGAAATAAAATGAGAAAACATTATTGAGGAGGAAAGACAATAAAAAACAGGATTCAGAAAGACAGAAGATGGCCATTGAGTCTATATTTAAATTTTGAATATCGTATTTCATAAGAAAGCAGGAAGCCGGAAAAAAAGTTCCACGGTGGAGAAGTGCGAAAGAAGAAACCGTTAGTATAGAACTTACAGTTACATTTAGTTATTTCAAAAGTAAAATCCTGAGACCTAGTTGTTAATCTAGTATTACGGTTAAAATCATGAAATCGAGATATCAATGAAAAAATTTCATCAAAACAAATGTCATGAAAATATGTATAGAAAAGGCAGAGGGAAGCTACGTTACGGCAATGGGAAAGGGACTGAAGCCGAAATGCCAGGTCAGGAGCGATAACATTACAGACCATTCTTTGAATTTAATCAAGTATCTTGAGATATGTAGCAGGGGCATCAGGTTAGATGTCGTAGCAATATTCAATGCACGGGTGAATGGTCGATCTATAAATATGCAAGTAGGTTTCTTGCGAGAAAAATTGTCTAGCACGCACAGTGAACCAACTTTCCTAGAAGAAAACCTAGCAATAGATTTAATATAATTGTTCCATTACATTTCAGTGCATAACATGAGACCAGGAAGGCACAATGAGTTGCTCCCTTGGAGGTTAGCATCAGCCATACAGATGGAAGATAAAGATGCTTCTCTAAGATTACCGAAAGACAACAGTTTTGTTTTGGGGGGCATTAAAGTTTATCAGCGATTTGTTACATCAGCTATAGATTCATTTTGAGTTCAGCTGACCTACCAGATTTACTGTTAAGACAGGTATAAAAAGCTGTGTCATCAGCATAGAACTAATGCCATCAGGAAGGTCGTTGATGAATATAAGAAATAAAGTCGAGATAGATTCCGAGGGAGACACCCGCATTAATGAAAAAGATCGAGAATAATGACCTTTAAACTCGACTTTCATTACGCGATTTGTTAAGAAAGTTGAAATCAATAATTTAGCTGGAGGCATCATGTCCTTTCAGCACGTGAATAAGACCAGCATGTCAGACCCTGTCAAACGCCTTCGAGATACATAAAGCCAGAGCCCGAACTTTGCTGTTCTTATCTAAAGCTTGACAGACTTTTTCAGTAATGAGCGTTAACACATCGATCTAGAGAAGCGATAGTAATATCGTTTATCTGAAAGAAGATCCTGCGTGGTGTGATTTTAACCAATTTGGAGCTGATAAGACCCACAAGTACTCTTCTAGGGAAGTGATGTTTGCGTAAGATAACTTGGTTTAGAGATGACAGCAGAAATCATGGACGGAATTATATACCAATCACTCACTCGATACCATTGTTTATTGAAAATATATTTACGGACTGAAATAATTTGGAAAATCATTAATTAATTTTAGAATAAATATATTGGTTGTATTGCAATCTTATAGCAAAATAATTTGAATGCAAATAATAATTGGAAAACCTCAAGGCTATGTCGTTAAAACAATACTTCTTTCATGATAAAGCAACACCACCTGAAGAATATGTCTAATGTTTTTCGGTTCCGTCTTTCAATTCCAGTGTTTTATTAAATATCCAAGTCACTTAAACAATGTCGAAAAAAAAAGTAGTTATCTTAGCAACTACATCAACTGCACATCTCCAAGCATCAGCTGTTTGATTGAATTGGGAAAAAGCGAGTAGAGTAAAATTGGTGTGGTGTATTTGAATTAAATTTAAACTTTTATAAGGCATTTTTATTTGATTTTTTTTTAATATTTCCGTTCTTTTTCAAAAAAGGTTTAGACAAAATCTGATTTTTAAGTTTCAATCAATTTAAAATGAATTTAAATTCAATTTTTCATTTTTATTGGTTTTCAATATTTTTATTTTTGGGGTTTTCTAATTTCCTACAAGGCATTTTTTTAAAATTTAAAGTTAGCGATTTTATTTGGTTTAGTTTAAAGGTGTAGAAAAATCTGGAGTCGGCACTGCCTTTCGAGTAGTTCCTCTAATTATATGTACACTGGGAGACATCCTAAAAGGATTATAGTAAGTGTAAAGCTAAGAATGTATAAGAAGTATTCAAACCACAACACTGTTAAAAAAAAGAGGTAAATGCTGAAGACTTGTAGAAATTTGCTCTCATTCGACATCACCAGAAAAATTCCTTTAAGAAGAATAAATACTGTGGATGATGTAACATAATTAAGGAAATTGTGTTATTTTATTCCACAAACAAAAGAAGTATGAGTCTAGTAAATTTATTTAAAAGAAAATAATTAGCAAATTGTTCATTTTTCAGAGTTAATTAATTGCCATAAAAAGAAGGAACTGATTGTAAGGGATGAAACTTAAAAAATAAAGGCTTCAAAATGGGCTTGAAAAGTAAACTTTTTGTTCATACTATCAGGAAGGAATAAAACCTCAAACTGTCCAGCCGTCTTAAAAGACACTGAGAGAGTGGAAAACAAAGAGGGTAACGTTGTACAAACTTTCAATTTATTATAAGCTGAGGTATCACACTCCTCGTGAGGTTTGGCACTGGGAACAATAATGGTATGTGAAGATGACAGATTTAGCAGTCAAAAAGCAAACTAGTGACGAATTAAATTGAAAAACACTGAAAGTTATTGCTGAGAATGATATATATATATATATATATATATATATATATATATATATATATATATATATATAAGATTGTAAAAAAAGGCAGCTTGGTGATGAAGGCGTTTGCCCATGGCGTTTTCGACTGAAAGAAATGTGTAAAAGGAAAAGTAAGAACTTACCAGCCACAATAAGGGAAACAAATGTTAATCGGGAAGTGGTCTCCATGTAGTCTAATTTGTTAGCAAAGATGTACCAGAAAATGGCTGTACCCATACTTCCCAGGTTGATCAGAGCGCCAATCACTTCCAACGAACGGACCGCATCAAACCAACTATCAAGACCTGCAAAAGATTTTATAAATGACGTAAGATATATTTGATGTAGTACAACATCGTAAACTCAACATTACTGTATTTTACAGGCAGACCTGATTACTGTTGACACGTTAATAGAGCATGGCCATTACTGACAAGTTTGATCAATGTTTTTATTTTTCGTAAGAACGACAATGGCTCTTGGGGGCAGCAAGTCACTTGCAAAGCTTATTGCAAATGCGGCAAATTAATCTTTTCTGTACAGGACTGGCCTGTTTTGTAAACTCTGTTCAGATTACTCGTGCGTTTTCATGTGACGAGATTGAGGCTGAAGCAGTTTCTGCAGGGTTTTAGACGTAGCGGATCATTGCTTTTCACAATTTCTTGTCATTTGTAGCTCTTAATAAATGTTGTCCTTTTTGTTATTTCTTCTCAACCCTGTTCCGCTATTCATTTATTCAAGTTCATTAAGTATGTTATGTGTTGTTTTCCTCTGTCACTCAATCCGTCCTGTGAGTATCAGATTTGCCAAGCCCTCTTTCCTCATTATGTGCCCCATAATTTTCAAATATCTCTTCCTGATGTTAAGTATAAGTTTCCTTTTTGTTTCCATTTTCTCTAAGACTTCGTCGTTGCTCACATTTTCGGTCCATGGTATCCTCAGCATCCTTCTGTAGAACAACATTTCTATTGCTTCTAGTCTCTTCTTCATCTTTGAGGAGATTGTCCAGCATTCGCTGCCATATAAAAGGACAGATATCACGTAACTGTTCAGTACTTCTTTTCCTTTAATGAAGTTTTTCTGTCTCTTGATATTCTGCTTAACTTTTGGAATGCATCCCAATACGTCTTCGGATGTCAATGTCGCACTCTCCGCCATCTCTTAGAACACTTCCTAGATTGATCGTAATTTGTCATCGGTCTACCAATATGAGTCTTTTTTGTGACTAACAAAGCTTGCATTGGAGAAACATACTCTACCACATTCATCTCATGTAAATTGATGAAGTGCTGAGTCAATGATTTCCTCTTTCCTAGTTGCACGCATGATATTTGACCACCTCCCCACAACACGCAGGAACACACACAGAGTTTAAAATCTTTTATATTTATGGAGGAAGAGTGCGTAATATTGTCGGGGATAGAACGTATGTGGGTATAAACGGTGTTGATTTCTATGTCCACAATATTTGTGTCTCGTAAGCTATTACTGAATACAACTAATAAAGAATACTTTACTAACTTTTTTATGCCGTTTTTTGTGTTTTCGTTCTGAGCAATGAATGTAGAAACGATACATACTTCTTATTATCGGGTCTAGCACTCATAAGGGTAACTATGTCAGGAGAAAAAGCCATGAACAGGCATCGTATTTGCATTTCTACCAGAGAACTAGCAACGGCGACAAAAATAAAAAAATCCCCACCCACCAAAAAAAAAAAAAAAAAAAAATTCGAAGTAAATAAATGAACAAATAAATAATAAGATTATTGACCTTTAAAAATTAGAATAACAAGTGAATAAAGTTATCACCTCTAAGAATGCCGAAACAGGAACAAGGAATAAAAAACAAAAATCAGCGGAAAAATGATCACAGACATTTATATGGTAACGTAAAGATGAAAAAAAAATACCAAGTTTAAAACCTAGAAAAACCGTTTTACTAATGTTCCCATTATATTCATATTGTTATAATATTGGTTTATAAACACTGTTCGCCCCAAACACCTAAAATTAAACGCCTTACTCTTAGCAAACTTATTTTATCCCACACTGCACAAATTTCATTTTACAACGATATTGTAACTATATAACAGCTCGCAATGGGATGTCCTCTTGATTCGGCAGTTTCCAATTGTTACGGTACACGTCAAAAATTTAGTTTGTAAAAAGTCTTGCCAAAACCACTTCTTATTCTAAATTCAAATTCTAATTCAGGGCCTTCTCGCTCCTGTCGGAGGAACCTCTTCTTGATTGACCATGTTTTCAGGGCTGTAGCTGTACTCACCACGCTTGAACAGTTGCATATTGGTGAAGCTATTTAACACATAATTGAGGTAACAACGAGACACGGAGACAAAATAAAAAAAAATCTAAAAGAAAATTTTGAAAGTAATTCCGTTCTCCATTTACGAACGATAAATTTATTTTCCAAGACGTTTTAATCGTTTTGAATAGCCACATCTCTACTACCTCCTGATGCAAAAATGTTAAAAATCCAGGAAAAAGAAGCTAAAATATTAATATATTTTATTTTCAACAGTAAATGTCCCAACAGAGAGAAAATCGTTGTAATTAAAAAAATTATGACCACACCTCTACTAATGTTATCATTCCACACATTATTTCTAAAAGAATTAGTTAATGTCAAACAAACTCTTATTAACAACGGATCCCTCAGATCTATTATCGACAAACAAATAAAAATATACTAAATAAATAATAAATACACTAAATAAAATTAATCAAAATAATAATGCACACAAAATCATAATAAAAGTAGTTGTATAATAAACTTATTGTAAGCAGATGCACTTTATTTATAATCAAGTCGAGACAGATCTAAAAAAATATAATTTATAGGAATATAGCCTCTGTTGACTAAAAAGTCACCAATTATCAGTTATTAATTATCAATTATCAAAAATTACAATCACCGATTTTCATCGTCACTAATAAAACCAATCCTAAAAAAAAAAAAAAAAAATGACAAAAACAACGTAAAATGCGGATTCTTATGACCAACAGGATATTGCAACTCCAAACAAAGTTTCATACCACCACAACACTTTCACATAGATTAACTTACCATCAAAGTGAAATAGGATCACATCTTAACAAACATACTTTTCCTACCAATAAAATTCAACTTTCGTACTCACTTCCGGGTTTAAATTTGTGATTTGCAAATTTGTTGCCGACATCCAAATAGCCTTCTTTCCCTGAAATCTGAAAATGGAGAAAAAATCGAAAAGTGAAACACAAAGACAACATATAATTACATGTCTTTAAAATTAAAATGTTCGCTCTGAGGCGTGATCAAATCTCAATGTGCATGCTTTAACACACTGAAACTTTCATATTGAGTTCGGAAGAAAGAGTTTCATTATTTCGTCGCCACAATTTTAATTTGTTGATTTAAAAATATTTTCAACTCTTGAGAATTGACAAAATTAAAAAAAGATTTATTTTAATCTGGGGAGATACTCATCTCACTTTATAACTGAAAAATTACTTTTTGTTACTGTCTAATGATTTTCCAGACTGCATTTAGTCATTGCACTATAAGGGAAAAATCAAAACATTTTTATTGGCTGTTGAGATAGCATCGTCATTTTAGTGGTAGTTTATGTTAAAAAAAAATACAAGACTAAATAGATGAAAAACTAGAAAGATATATTTCAAATTGCAAGCACAGAGTAAATTTGAACAAGAAATGGCATAATGGAAGAGAATCTATAATTTCCACTTTATGTCTCAACCGTTCATATAATTTCTACTCTTTCTTTTGAGAAAGGCATGAAACAAACGGTTCCTTGACACAATACCTCGCAATTTCCCTTGCGTATGAGTCCATTCCAGGATGAATGGAAAAGGCTATTAAGAGTATTTTCAAACAAAAAACCCTCACTAAAAATGTTCAAAAACAAATACAAGTAATATAAAAACTCTTGAATAAATAATAATAATAATAATAATAATAATGATAATAATAATAATAATAATAACAACAATAATAATAATAACAATAATAATAATAACGTAAAAGTTGATCACGTCTGTCCTGACGAACCGTACTTATTCCTTTCTCGAAACAAACAATATTCTCCCGCTGGAACAGAAGGGATGCAGAAGAGGTTCATATGGCTGCAAAGATCAACTTCTGATAAATAAAATGATCCTGGAAAATTGCAGGAGACGACGCAGGAATCTAAGTGCAGCGTGGATTGATTATCGTAAAGCCTTTGATAGTGTTCCACTTTCTTGGATCCTTAAGTCTTTGGAGATGTACAAAGTCTCCCCTGTGGTATTAAATTTCCTTAAGCACAGCATGGGAATGTGGAACACCAAACTATACCTTATGTCACACCGGGGGCACTGCCATATCCAACCGTCTGAATATCCGACGTGGAATCTTTCAAGGAGATTCTCTGTCACCCCTTCTGTTTTGTTCATCCTTAATCTCTCTTACACATGAACTGAACAACAGTAGCTATGGTTACAAAATAAATAAGAAAATATTCAATCACCTACTCTACATGGATGCTCTTAAACTCTTTGCCAAAGACGACAATGAGTTGAAAGGCCTCCTCAATATTGTAAAATACTTCAGTGACGACATAGGTATGGACTTCGGATTAGATAAATGTGCAAAAGTAGCTTTCAAGAAAGGTAGAATTACAGAAACACCCTTAATAGATTTAGATTTTGTCACAAAAGATTAGGGAACTGGAGCATGGTGAAGCTTATAAGTACCTAGGAATTAGCGAAGGAGATGGCATACAACACCCCCAAATGAAGGAAAAATAAGAAAAGAGTACTACAGGCGTGTACGTCTGGTACTAAATACTGAGCTAAACTCAAAAAACAGGATATCAGCCATAAACACATTGGCTGTCCCTGTGTTGCAATACAGCTTAAATGTCCTTAACTGGACCATAGCTGAAATTAAGCGAATGGACGCCAAAACGAGAAAGCTTCTCACTTGCTATCGCATGCATCATTCCAAAGCTGATGTTGATCGTCTGTGTGTGCCCAGATCCGAAGGAGGCAGAGGATTAGTTCAACTAGAACTGTCCTACAAAACTACAACAATTGGCCTCCAAAGATATTTGGAAACTACAGAAGACTGGATGATAGTATGCGTCAAGGAACATGAAAGTAGTAAGCGTCTCTACTCCGTAATGAAAGAAGCCAACAAATTCAAAATGGAGTTTCAAATGGGCGTAGAGATGCAACTACAGCATAATACACCGGCTGAAACTGCAAAATACCTAAAAAAGACAGCAAAGACGAATGCAACCGACAAGTTACAGAAGCGATGGCAAGATAAACCGCTTCATGGCCAATACTCTGCCCGTACCAAACAAGCTGACGTAGACAAAACCCGTACCCATCAGTGGCTACGTAGTGCAGGGTTGAAAGCGGAAACTGAAGGTTTTATCCTTGCTGCGCAGGACCAATGCTTGCTAACTAGGAATTATCAAGCACATATACTAAAATATTTTGTCAGCCCAAAATGCAGATTCTGTGATAAATATCCAGAAACGATTGATCATCTTGTATCAGGTTGTACGGTGTTGGCACCCACTGAATATAAACCGACATGACAGAGTGGGCCAATATCTGCACTGGAAAATCTGCAACTTCTACGGGAAGGAAACTGGAAGAAACTGGTATGAACACCACCCAGACTCGGTTACGGAGATAGGACCTGTTACAATTCTATGGGATTACACAATACACACTGACAGAACAATCAAGGCCAACCGGCCAGATATTGTTATTAAAGACCACAAAACAAAAACGGTGCCTCCTTATTGATATGGCAGTCCCTGCTGACTGCAATGTATCTTTTGAAGATATTCAAAAGTTGTCAAAGTACAAGGACCTTGAAATAGAAATCTCGAAAATGTGGCATATGGGAACATCAACAATCCCTGTTGTAGTTGGAGCCCTAGGACTGGTTGGAAAAGATTGCAGTAGACTAATTGAAGGGATTCCTGGAAGTCCATGCCTCAAGGAGATACAAAAAATTGTTCTGACAAGTACAGCCCACACATTACGAAGGGCTTTATCTATGTAATTTAATTTTTTTTTTTTATTTTGTCAGTGGAAAGTGTCATGACGCCATTTCTAACCTTAGGTCCCTGGGCGGGACCCGGAAAGAAATGTGTAAACGCCAGAAATCAAAGAAAAAAAAAAATAATAAATAAGTTGCAATTTTCCAACATTTAAAAAATGATTTAAAGTATGTGAATTTCAAAAAAATATTTTTACTGCATATTGCTATTTGTAAATAAACTTGTAATCCTGTTATTCTACTTTATACCCGCTCACACACAAACACACACACACACACACATATATATATATAGAGAGAGAGAGTCAGTGATAGAGAGGGAGAGTAGGAGATACGGAGAGAGAGAGACATTGAAAGCGATAGAGAGGGAAATCACCTTCACAACAATTACCACGGTAGTTCAGATATTCTGACAAGATTTGTCCTACGATATCTGTCTATATTTCTGAGATGAGGTATGAGATGTACATTATTTACATTATTCGGACTATACTATTATAATACCCAGAAATTCATACCAAGATGTCCTCAAGGACACATGGCACAGTGGATAAAAGCGTTGGTTAGATCCAGTGACAGGACCCAAAGAGTGTGAGTTCAATACCCGGTTAAGGCAGTGGAGAAATTAACAGGAGATAACTGACATCCATTAAACATGGCATATGGAACTGGAACAGTCTACCCCAGTGAGCGAAATAAAGGGTTAAGTTTGACATTCCAACCACCAGAAGAAGGCCGAAGCGTACAACGGCCGAAACGTTGTAATAAATATGAGGACAATAGTCCGAATAATATAAATATTTTCCTACGATGTTTATGTAATTAGAAGCATTGATCATAACCTAATTGTGCAGAACCATATCGAGAATGTGAAGCGTTGTAAGGTAATAAAAATATTCTCAACTAAAAATCTAGTAGTCAAGCGACACAAACAAATTTATTATCAATATAGATAACATTTAAATAAATAATTTTATTTATATTTTCATAACACTCACGATATGCTAGGAAATGTCACCAATATTAAAAAATTAATTTATCTGAATGAAAAGGAAACTGAGTTGCAAACGAACAAAATAATGTTCAAGTTGAGAGGTTTGTCTATGTAGGTCAGAGGCAAATCAATTCATGTTGGTGGATAAGAGTTTTCTTAACGCTCGAATGATTTTATTTAAAGCAGGCACATAAATGGCAGAGAAATAAGTGATTGGACATTGACGGATAGTAGTAGAACTAGTAACGCAACCCCGGAAAAGGCATGTACTTTGAAACTGAATAGCATGAATGTTGGGAAAGATACCCCATTGTCGGTTGGTGGTATAATCGAGAACACTCAATTTTCTATTTACAGAGAAAGGGTTCAATGTTAGATTTACAACTAGATTGCGCTCAAAATTCTAAATATTTTTATCGAAGCAGTCCTGCGCTACGACGCATAAAGTACAAAAACATTGACAAATATGCAAGAGAAAAACACCCAGAAACAATAAATTATTCATTTTTTCTTGTTGATGAGCATTTTTGTAATCTTCGTGAAATAAAGTATAAATTTAAATAAATGTCAATATTTTAAAATTTGTTTTCTACTTGTACATATAGTACACCAAACAATAAAATGAGATTCTCCTACAAATTTTTGAAATAACAGTTTTTCACGAGGAATGATAATTTGTAGTTAATTTCCTTCAGGTTTTGTCTTCTTAGATGAGTAAAACTGACAATAAAAATCGGAAAGAAGAAAACAAAAACTTTTTATACAATATTTAATCAAATTTCGTATAATCATTAAAGAATGTTTTGCCAGAAAATATAAACAAAGAAAACTAACGATCCAATATCCAAGAATCGTAAACTTTAAGAAACTTTTTAGTCCGACACGAGGCCAGTTTTGACCGTAATTAACAGAATGAAAAGAAATTTGGATATTTTTCTGGAAATTTGCCTAAAAATTTAAATTCAATGAATTTGTTAATTGGTTATAAACATTAAAATACAGAAAAAATTGCATTGAGGGAATTTTGCTGTTTTCGTGGTTCACGAAATTTCCTTTTCTCTTTTTCTAGAAGCAGTCATCTGAGACAAACCTTTTCGCTATTTACATCAGCAATTTGGATTATCGGTAGACGTCTAGAGATTTCTCGTTCTATAGCTTCAGCTTAGAATTCATCAAACTTTCAGCATAAACAAATCAATATTTCTGCTAACGACGTACAGAATCGTGAAGATTGCTTCATTTATTTTTGTCGGTTATTTCTCAATCTTGAAAATATTCAGATTTCCGATCAACTTTCGAGAACAAATGCCAATACTTGTCGGTTCTGATTTATTAGATAAATTTAACTTCTGAAAAAAAGTTTTGTTTTAAACTACAATATCAAATATTACCTCCGATCACGTGTATTGTTTTGTTCTCGAAAGTTACTGATGAACGATCGGAAATCTCTAAGTTTTAAAGAGTACAAAAAAAATAAAAAAATATGGAGATTAATTAACGGACAAAGAATAAATATTAGCAGCGAAAATTCTTGCATCTAAAAGAAGACTTTATTCAGTGTTATTTAAATAAATACTCTATTCAGTGCTAGTTATTTGATGAGGAACTTTAGCATGACAAGAACGGTCTGAAAATTAACGAAAAAATTTTTTCATTGTATATTTTTCGAAGAAACACTAAAATGCCCATCCCAATATTTATTAATTTAAAGTTTTTTAAAAATTTTGAAAGAAACTTTTAAAAAAAAGTAAAAAAAAATTGACAACAGAATTTTATTCAAAATTTTTTTTTTTTTTTTTTATATTCAACATTGTTTGTAAAATAATCAAACACAATATTCTCGGAAAAAATAAATAAATGGAATTTTTTATGTAAGAAAAAATTAAATCTGGAAAAATACCAGGTAAAGCAGCAACACATGAAAAATCTGAAAGCAAACAGGCGTTTCTCATCCAGAAATATGAAATTTTAAAAAAAAGATGAAAAATATATTTTTGTACAATTAAGGATGTCAAATAGTTATAAATATTCCAAACTTCCGGTATCCGTAGATTTAATGGTAAAAACATTATTGACAAATTTATTAAAAATTCATTTTCATCGAAATATCTTTTGCTTTCAGACAATATTGTCCATGTTTATTGGAATAAATAAAAGCAATTAAAAGCTTTTGAAATTAAATAATATTTTTTGTTTTATTGAGTTTTGTATGTTACACTTCAGAGACGATTTTTCAGGTAGAAGGCTCCAACTAAAAAAAAAACAAAAACATGATTTTGTTTCCTCAAAGCATTGTTTTTTTCTGCGACTAAACTCCTAATTGAATGATAGAGTTTTCAACAAAAACAATGGGTAAAAAATATCATTCATTTGTAAATATTTCCGACAATTATTTTCATTTTTGATTTTCCAAATTATATTTTGATATTTAAGCAATTACGTAAAAAAAAAGATTTGAGAAATCTTTTTTCATCAAAAGTGAACTCCGATTCTCCATTTTATTCAAAATTATAATTGCAAACACAATCTATTTTAAGCAGCAACACATGAAAATAAGTGCGGGCGTTTCTCATCCAATAAAAAAAACTTGAAATGATGTCAAATAGTTAATAAATATTACAATAAATAATACACATAAGTTATTGTTCTGCGACTTGAATGATGTCAACACAAACAATGGCGAAAAATATCATTCAATATTTGTGAATCGTTTGATATTTAAGCAATTACGTAAAAAGATTTGAGAAATCTTATTTCATCAAAGTGAACTCCGCCCTAGAATTGAAGCCACTGATCAAGAATAGTCAGATGATAAATTTAAACCGAGACATAAAAACATTGTATTTATTTTTCTCGACAATCAGAGAGAAAAAATATTAAATCATGAAAAACAACTGCTGTCTATAAGTGGATTTCTGATGAGTAGATAAATCAGTGTCGATCGGCTTAAAATCTCCCCATAAAATCAAATTTCGATAAATGAACAAATTTAACGAATAGAATTTCCACGGTTATGGCTGAAACAAACATTTAGACAAGACTGAATTTTATTAAGAAGGCCGCCAAGTAAAAAAGTACCACAATTGATGTCAATAATTTAATGTTTATTATTTTGTCATAATAGTTACATTTTGAGTTTTTTTTTAGATAAAATGAAGTTATTTTTATAGTAACTTTTTATGCAGTGATTTTTATAGTAACTTTTATGCAGTAATTTATTTAAAAAAAATGAAAACAATTTTTTAGGACAGTGAAATTAAAAACTGATCTAAATTCATTAAGTGATTGATTTTATTTAATTATAAATTTTAGTTTGTTTATAGAAAATATTTGGATTGCTCTAAATATGTCCAGAACACCAGAAAAATGACCAAAATGAGGCTGATTTTCCATAAAAGTTGAAACGACTTATTTTAGGTCATTGGACGATTTTAGTGACTTATTAAACAATTCAAATATTAAGAAAAAAATAGAGTTTTATTTTTGTTGGTGTCATTTTGAATATATTGATAGTGATTAAAAGAATTTTTACACAAAATTTGTTCCGTTTTTACTTTTTAGGTGTAAAAGTTCGTCCCGAAAAAAATATCGAGGCTGTTTCATGGAGCAATACAATGAAAACATTTGATTGTTAAAAATTATTATTTGAACTAAAGTAAATGCTATTCTTCTGATCCCTGTTATGGGAAATGTATCATCATCATCATCATCATCATCATCATCATCATCATCATCATCATTATTTCCTATAACAGCTTTGCATCCAATTGTCTCTGATGGTTCATGAAGTAATAATAAGTTACAGCCAGTGTTATTAAAACGTTCAGGTAATATTATTATTGTTCTTTTTTTTATTAGTCGTCGTAGTAGTATTGGTATCGAAAACAGATTTAATTAATTAATTTCGAAGTGAAAACTACAGAATAGAAACAACCGAGAGAGAAAAAAAAACATTGAAATAATCATGACTAATATTTAGAACGACTTGTTGAAAAGGATAAAGAAATAAAGAAATAAGAGTTTAATAGAGTTTAAATGACGTAGTTATCAAAATACAAACCTTATATTTTAATATCTGGTTCTGCCTCTCCCATAGACCACGAAGACTGTAGAAAGTAATATTTTTTCCCCCAACAACTTCTTTGACAGACGGTTCGTAGATCCAATATTTGAGAACAAGCCCTATAAGTTGCAGGATTAGAGCAATGGTACAGCATATTATGACACACGAAATGATGCACTTTAACTTCATACTCTTTCGTATGTTCGGTCTGTTCGATAAACTGGTGTCTCCTCTTCAATAACTACTAAATGGAATGTCAATGTATTCATGCGTCTTTATAAACGATTCACACCCTTCCACACAAAAAGGAAGTCTACCACTCCTTCTCCTACGGATTTTCTCTACACCTGAAGAAACGCTATCAGCACGCAACAGGTAGTAGAAAAACAATTAATACGTTAATATTTTAGTCAAAAAATAGAAGAGCGAAAGTATATCGCTGTAAAACTGTTATTTTTGGTCAAAATGTGAGATTTTTTTCTTTAAGTTTGTAAATAAATCTTCATTTGTTTAATCTCGCTGTTGCTGTACATTCCTTGATGATATAATTCTTTTCATTCATTCACTGCATAAAGAGATATTTAGAAATGTCGGACATTTATTAATAAATTTATTAAAGAGTGGTTAGGCTGAGAATGTCAGGTGTCTCACTTCACCTCATTTTGTAAATAAAGTCTCAAGTTATATTTCATAGCATTTCCCTATAATAAATGATAAAAAAGAAAAAAACATGTGAATAAGTAATCAATATTCTATGAAAAAGTAGGAAGTATAATTAATAATTAGTTTATCGATCAGATTTATTTATTATCGATCATGTAATCAGTTATGTTTTCGTAGTGACTTTATCGATTATGATTGATGATTTTCTGACGCACAAAGCACTCAATGTTAAATTTATTTTACAAGAAAATTCAAATATAAGATGCGTTTAACAATATGGAAATATTTATTGAATCAATTCGAATTATCATCATCCTTGTTGCTTTTTTGAAAATATTTCGTCTTATGTTTTCATAATGATAAATTAATTGAATTTTTCTTTTTGAAGACTGATTGACTAAAATTTTATGACAAAAACAACAAAGAAATCCGAAGTGGTGATAAGAAAAAGGCCGGGTGTGTGTGTGCGTGGGGGTGGGGTGTTGGCAACGTTCTTCTTTCGGCAACAGGTAATATACTCTATTCAAAGGAAATATATTTTTTAGCTATTCTGAATTTGTATCAGTTGACTTTAACAAATATTCCTTTAAGATATAAGTATTAAAATACGAAAAAATCCTATTCCATGCAGCAATGCTTTGATTGCAATTAGTTCTTATATTTAAATTAATATCATTGAATCTGCAGATTTAAAATATTTCTATGCACAGTTTACTGCAGTCGGTGGCATATAAGAATCCATCTAAGTTATTTTTATATTACAGTATTATGGAATTAAGTTTTGTACAATTATTCGTAGTGCACAGTGTTAGGTGAAAATTAGCTTTTTACCAGATACCTCAACTTTGCATATAAAACCCGAGAGATGTTTGAAACTATTTGGGGCGGAGCGGAGTGGCGTAAATTGGAACTACAGTGTAACCCGGATATAAGAGACCCGGATATAAGAGAGATTTTCTCTGGTCCCAAATTAGAGCCTGTGTTACCTAAACAAAATAGACCAAACCCGGATATAAGAGAAACCCGGATATAAGAGACTTCTTCTCCGGTCCCGACAACTCTCTTATATCCGGGTTACACTGTATATGGTAATTTGTGTGCCTTAGTGACGAAGATTCAGATTTTCAAAAGCGCAGAGACGAAAGAAATAATCCTTTTCGAATAAATTTTAAAATCTACCAAGCATGTTGAAATGAGCTTTCTGTGAGGTAAACACATTTAGAATAGCTGGATAGGTCATGACTAACGCCTCAATGAATTACAGTGAGAAAACGCAGTAGTTCGTTGCCAAAATGCCATTTATTTCCTGGCCTTTAGCGTTTATGTGCATAAAAAAGAAATCTCTCATTTTGAAAAAGACGCTAAAATTAGCTGAAGCTGTTTTCAGACGAAAATTTTATTATGGCGAATTGTTTTCCTTATATTCTAGCTTGTTATCACAATATTTTTGGTCGACACATTTTATGCTTGTGAAATCTCTATAAGAAATCACTTCCAACGAAACAAAAACTCATACAATCGACCTGACGAGTTTGCTTTACATGAATAATGCCTTTATCATTTCGGTGCATCTTTCTGTAGTCATTTTATACCCATTACTTCCAATATTCTACGCCATTTTGTTTGCTTACTGTATAGTACTAACACTATTATGACGAAAAAAATCCAATGAAGTTTGTAGAAATTAGAAACTTAGTCCCTTCAATTTGTACTCGATTCGACGAGAAGCTTTTTCTAACTGTTAATGCAAGCAAAGTTTATTACCTTTCAAACATTCTTTTGGGAGATTCTATTTTTTCTGACTCAAAACGTTGGATAGTCACAAACAAGGAGTGGTATTTCTTATTCACATAAAAGGCATTTGTGTGTAAACTGTTACAAGTTTATCCAGTTGAATAGGTCAATCGTTCAGCTTATATGAATTTCTGTTTTTTTCATGACATTGTTTACCAGTAATCGCTTTACAACTTTATAAAGATAAATGTCGACAATCACTCAAATAGGCATTTGAATTCTCCTTTACTGGACAAAAAACAAACAAATTTTTAAGTTCTCGAATGAAACAGTTACATTCTTTTACAATAATAATAAAAAAAAAAATATTGACAAGTTTCTGCAATATTTAAAGTTCTATTTAAATTTGTTGATCAAAGAACGCCGTGGAGGATTTTGATGTGAGTTGTTCAAATATCCTTTTTTCATCTCGAATTTTTCCGATTAATGGTTAGAGAATGAAAAATAAACGAAGGAAAGGAAATGAAGTCCTATTTTTTGTAAACTTACATTAGTCGGGTAGAAAACAATAGACACTTTTAGTTCATTTTGAATACAGTTTATCCTGATATCAAGAAAAGATAATTAATTTGTTTGATTTTGTAAATTCGATTGCATATTCGATGTTTAATTTATTTACAAGATCAAGTAAAATGTGTTGCAAAGATATATTAATAAAGTATCGAAAATATACTGTTTAAGTAAAATATTTTGAAATTATAAGAAAACGACAAAAGTTAAAACACTACGAAAAGATGATTTTATCAGTAATCCGAATTGTTACTTATAAAAATCATTGTTAAAAGTAAAATAACATTAGTTTATGATGGGCCGGCAAACTTTTATAGATTATATTTATAGTTTTATCTATTGGTAGGGATAGATTAGTTTTTGATTGTATTAGATCAGGTGTGTTCAATATGTTAAACATATTTTCTTGGGGGGGGGGCACTTTCAAAACTTTAAGTCATAAAAAGGTCCGATCATCTCCAAAAATTTGACATTTTTCGACAGAACATATATTTTTAACGTACAAAGTCTGATTGTAACAACAACTTGTGTAAATGCTTTTTCACATTTTTATTAAATAAATAAGCATGAGAATACATTATTTTATTAATGTGGCACTAGATATTTTTTGTGTGTGCACAAGCTTTCAATGTCAGCTTTTACAGATGTAGTGGCAACATGTAGCTGACTCAACAAATTTTCATCATTAAGTTGACTTTGGCATTTGGCTTTTGTAAGCTTCATACTTGGAAAAAAATGATCACAGCAGTATGTGCTTCCAAAAAGAAAGATCATTTTAATGGCATATTGTGTCAAATCTGTATATTTTCCACCTACATACTTTGTACAAAATGTCACCAAATCCTTCTTACAGTATCTGACTGCAAATAAATAAGCTCCATTTGATAGCAGTCAGCTCTGTCTTCAGCGGCCGTTTCAAATGGCTGGGAAGTTTTAATTCCTTTTCATATTTTCTGAAATCCACAAACCTGTTGGTGAACTCTTCTCTCAGTTTTTGAATACTTGCAAAATATTTTTTACAAGTGAAGTCAGGGATCACAGCTTTTCTTGCTTTCACACAGGGAAAATGAGCACATGCTGCTCTATTCAATTGTAATTAAAAAAAGAGCCAATTTCTTTTCAAATGAACAAAGATGTTCAAATAACTTGTTCACCAACTAACCTATACCCTGTAGCTTTACATCTAAATCGGATATGTGTTGTAAAATATCAACAAGAAAGCAAAATCATTCAACCAATTATCATCTTTGAAATAGGCAACATCCTGTTGTTTGCGTTCCATGAACATTTTTATCTCATCTCGAAGATTCCAGAATCTCTTCAAGAGTGGCAGCCAACGCACTGCAGAGAAATACGCAACATCAGGACAATCAGCTTCAATTTCCTCTAAGAAAGCTTTAAACTGGCGATGATTCAATCTCCGTGAACGATTATAATTCACACTTTGGAGTACATTTTTCATAACTTCAGCAAAGTCTAATACTTTTGCGCACAAATTTTCCTGATGGATAATGCAGGGATTCATCCCTTGTAAGTTCATATAATTTTGTCGTTCACATCAGTACTCTTGTCCAATGCTAAACTGAATATTGCACACCTACTTATCCTGTTTTTTAACTTTTCTTCAATATTGTCTGATCGGTAATCCTACGAAGTCAGAGTAAAGCAAGAGAGGCTGGTTTGCTGAACTAAATGCGTCTTTTTGAGACATGCATAATCTATAAATATTTCCATGCAATTTTCAACTATTCGCCATCACTGAAAGTTTATCATTTTTCAGCAATTAATTCACATACTTTGAAACTCAAATTTGTCACGACTTCCGAGTCTCTCTTATGAGTGAATACACCTTGTCGCTTTTTAATAGATTTTTTCCATTAGTTCAATTTTGTCAATTCGTGATTTGCCAACGATTGTGTCGTATTGTGCAGAACATCTCATCGCATAGCGAATTTCTAATGAAGGCGTATGGTTAGTCAAACGTTACTATCATTTCAAATTCAACATGTAACTACTAACCGCATGATTGTACAATTCACTAATGATCTAAAGGAAACTACTAACCTATAACATCAAAGCGAAAAGTAGGTGCGACAGCAGACAACCCTGACGAACCGACCGTGACAGTGCAAAAGAGCTTGACCACTTCTCGTTCACTTGTACTAAGGCAATGGGGGAGCGATGCACCAGGTTTATCCACATGTAGAAATAGGGTTTGAATCCAGCGGCCTGCAGAACAACCGCCTTGTACTGATGGTCGAACCTGTTGAACGCCTTGGACTAATCCAAATTGATCAGTGCGGCTTCATCGTTGTCTTCTGCGCAGTCTATGATCGTGTGGATTAGATGCAGGATGCTCAGAATTGTCCGGCCCTTCACAGCACAAGTCTGCTCCGGCTCCAACAGAATCTCGGCAATGATTGCAAGCTCCGTCAGAATCTTGACCAAAATATTTATCTGTGTTTAGTAGAGTTATGGGCCTGTAGTCATAAAAAAATCCCGCCCACCATGTTTGTCCTTTTTCAGCAGCGTGATCACACTCCTGGAGATCCAATCGGGAACGGTCTCTACCGGAATCAGTTGTTGAAAACCACTGTCAAGATCGAAACAAACATGTGAGACAAATACAAAATAATATTCGTATGGTACACCATCAAGTCCAGGAGACTTGCCACTGCTGAATATCTTCAACAACTCGTGGGCTTCTCCCTTTGTGATCACACACTCGCAACCAGCCGCTTTAGTCGACGAAAGTCGGCAAAATAGCTGCAAAACTTTTTGTTAGAGAGACCAGGCGCTTTAATAAAACGGTTCTGGAAATGCTGCCGTAACCACTCGCACATATCGTTGGTCGATCGCAGGCTGTGTCGATCAGTGGTATTAACCTACTGAGTATATCGATCGGAACCTCGAGGTATTTCCTCATTGCACAATTCTGCACCCATATTCACGGCTCCGTTAGACATCTTGTTTAACCTATGTTTTATTACCTGACTCCGGTAACGTTCACTAGCCGATTGCTCTAGGGCCTGTTTAGCTAAGCCTATCTCTAGGAGATCACCCACGGCCTCCGACCCGGCCCAGACTATCTTTAAGTGTCTTCACCTTCTTAGCCTTACCTAAGGTGAGTCGTTGGCTAAATTCGGTGTTGAAAGACCTAATCCTATCCTTATTGTTCTCCCACCAATTTTTCCCAATAAAGGCTCCTACTAACTACCGCTGCACTAATCTAGTCAGATGTAGCTGGAAGTCCTCCCCGTACAGTCGGGCCTCGTTGAAATTCCAGTGTCCAGCCAATCTAGGCCTAAAGTCTAACACCATACCGGCACAAACAAGCTTGTGGTCTGAATAGCCTAACCAGTGGAACGTGGGACAATCTAGTAGATCTTGATCGATCCTTCTCACTAACATTCTATCCAAGTAGCGGACCACCTGCGTAGATGGCGACTTAAGAGTCCTCGTCTACACCGCCTGCCCAGGATGATCGACTCGGTATCTATCGACGAGACCAAACTCATCGATCAGATCAACCAGTTGTGATGCGGCTTTCGACGATGATAAAAATTCTCCGGTGCCGTCAAGTTAATGTGTCGGTGGAGTCCCAAAAGCTCTTGCGGATCATTGTCACGTGGAGGACAAAATTCCCGGCAAATGCCCGCTTTGCTCGTAACAGACAAGACATGCCCACTTTGTCCATACTTTGCGTAAATAGCCCCAGCTGATCCTCTGTATGGCCACTCCATGTAAAGTCATCCTCGTCTTGCGGGTGCCCATGTATTCAGTCTGCCAGACAGCTGCTTGGTTTTTTCTTCAGTCGTCAGTAGGATGTCCCATATTATTATTATTATTATTATTATTATTACACTTATTTGTGTTTATGTGTGCATTCGTAGTAATTTTTTGATTATTTATTTGATTTTGTATTTATTCATTTATATTTTTTGGTTTATTTGGAGGCTTTTCAGAGCATCCATAGTTTTCCCGCTGACACCAATAGATTTATGGGTTTTTACGCCCGTTATCAGCGAAGAGATGGTCCTTGTCATTACCGCATCCAACGCTTTGGGAATGGTGAGGAACTCATTTCCAATTGTATATTGGCGGTAGATTTCCTCCAAAGCTGCATATTCGCGTCTCTTTTTCTGGGGCCTATTAGAGGCCTAGGCTGAAGGCGATGTAGTTGGTGGGGCGACAACGCCATGATAGTCGGCCATCCTACATCAGGCACAATAAGCAAGAAAATGTTCAACAGGGTAAAGAACAAAATGTGATAATATAGATAAGCAGTTAACACACGCAAAACAAATGGGCTTAGTTTTTTCTTTCAAAGCAAAAAACACAGAATATGCCAATCTGTATAGTAATTATCCCGACGAGTATAAATGCACAGATTACATACTTAAGAATTTTATTTAAACTATTCATAGGCCTCAACAAATAGAGCGGCTTTTATCATTTTTAGTGTTGTGAGTAATTTGGAGCACAAGTTGCTCTTTCTTGAGGAATCACAATAGAAAAATATTCCCTGGTAGTGAACAGAATTGCAGTTGGATATTCGAGAAAACACACATTTGAAAAATTCAATCTCTGAAAAATTAAAGACTTCAAAATCTTCTCAAGGAAAGTCCACCAATTTTTCATTTGAATAACAAAATATCCTCATATTGATATCATTGAGCTGAATCTTTTGCCTGAAAATGTTTTTTTTTCACTTTTGTCATGTTTCTAGTTTAACACATTTTATATTGATTAATTTTATTTCCGTTTAACTAAAATGTCTGAATAATCTTTTACTATCGCAATTGAAATTAACTTTAAACTTTGTGCATGAAAATCAATTAGATTTTGATAAAAGAGTGATTCATTTTGAAAGATTTTCTTTCGTATATCCTAAGCGATCATTTAAAAATGCACAGCAAGCAGCGTAAGGAACACTATCCATTTCCAACACCTTCACGAGAGCAATCCACATCCCATTCACATACGATATTCAATACCAAGGAACAACAGCGAAACACGTATGACGTCAATCCAGCTGCTTAAGAAATGTTTATGTCATCAAAATAGTTGCTAAAATTTCATTAAAACATTTTTAAACATTTAAAAGAATAAATCTCGATAATGCTTCAATCTGAAAGAAGGTTCTAGTGTAAAATGAGTTGTGTGTGATGAGAGAAAAAAAGGGCAACCATTTCGCGTCATTTGTCTCGTGAGATTATGAACTATAAAACCTCGTAATAAATTGTTTAACAGGTAGAATACCTTGAAGTGTAATACCAATTGTCATTGTCGAAATCTGATAAGAGTCATCGTTGTCATGGATGCGAATAAGGCTATTGTTGTCATTGTAGTTTTGATAAAAATGTCTTCATCTATTTCATAGAGAAAAAAATCAATATTAAGAAAATAAAATTTAATAGAAATAAAAACTTCATTTCTGAAATAGATAATCTAAAACAGCCAGCCAAAAAGCATAAAAAGAACTAAACCTTTCTTTGTAAACCGATAATTTTATTTTGATTTGGTAAGATTTTTGATTGAACATAATTAATTTGGTAATAAAAATGGACTCGATATAACACCGCTAAAAGTTGAAATCGAAAAGATCGTGTTCATTATGTCTGAGATGGCAAATACTGTAATCTTTTCTCTGATACAGTGGCAAGATTATACCAGGAATATGTGAATTCCGGATAGATATTAGCAGAAAGGGAAAACTGTGAGTGTCCAAAAGGAAATGCAAGAAAGGTAACTGAAGAGAGAGAGAGAGAGAGAGAGAGAGAGAGAGAGAGAGAGAGACAGACAGACAGACAGACAGACAGACATTCAGAGAGTGAGAGTGTGTGTAACGCTGGTACCGCTCAATCCATCAGTCAACACAGTGTACATTGAATTTCAGTGGATTTTGCAGTCATCGACCAGTGGGGGTACCACAAAATCAGTTATCATGCCTCACTTCGGACAAAGAACATTACTATTGGACTGCGGAAGGCTGGCACCATATTGCCCTCTTAGATGAGATGTTACCATCTCTTACACAGATGGTATATTTCTGTGTGGAAGAGAGTGCATAAGGCTATGGATTCGGAATATGAGCGAGGTGTTGTGTAAGCTGGTGGTGAATATATACTGGTATGTAATCTATTGTGTTAGAGTTCTCAAGAAACGCTTGTGAAAATCAAATCTACCTTGACAGGTGTAATATACATTTACTCACCATGTTACTCGGTTCCAGTAAGATGACACATCCTGCCACCATTTTATGCAGCGTTGTGTAACCGCCGTTATCCAGGCAAAAGGAGAAGCTACACATTATTAGGTAACTGTCTCTAATTTGTTTGCAATTCAGCTGAGTGAAAAGCATTTCGTTTGTGCATTCATCTATTCAAAACAATAAACGTCAGTTTTTCTGTGATAAATTTAGCAGACACGTTTATCTTGAACACGGTGGCATTTATAAAACGCATCGAAATAGAAATGTCTCCTTGATAAATCCACCCCATAAAACTTTAAAAATATAGCTATTCATTATTAACCCATAAGGCTGAAGCAAGCGAAACATGAACTGATGCCTCGTAATTCCAGTGAAACAAACAAGGTTTATGTCTACCTTTATGGGAATGAGACGGTTCAAAATGGCACACGTTAACCGATGAAATGTTTTATAGACTATTACAGCTGCAATTGACATATTTTGGCGATAGAAAAATAAATTTATTTAATGTAGGCTCCAATTATTTATTCATTGTGTACATCAACTAAAATGTTAATCCTGAGATGAATTAGTTTGCATTACTTCGGTTTTATTTTAAGTCAATTTACATTCATATAATATTAACGAATCAAATTATTTCATCCAAAATAATCAAATAATTCGATTCGCTAATATTATATTAATGTAAATTGCCTTAAAAGTATTTTGACTTTAGCGGTTAAATTCTCTCTAAGTCTGTCGTATCTAATACCAATACAAATAAATCACAAACTTAAATGTAATAAATCACTCATCATTAATTGGAATAATTGTTAATAGTTTTTGTATTTAACTGAAAGAATAATAATGTTGGCACGGGGTCTCTTGTAATGACAAATCTTCTTTATTAGAGAGGCAACATATTTGCCCATTCGTGAATCTGCAAACGAGGAAATCAATTTTGATACTTTTTGTTCAGTCAATTTTATTCTAAGATATTTAATTGAAATCTCATCAATTTAAAAAAAAATGCAAAAATGAACATTTGTTAAATTTAATCAAAAGAATACACACACATATGCGCGTACTCTCTCTCTCTCTCTCTCTCTCGCGCGCACACACACACATATAAATGGACACTGTGGTCAACACAATGTGACAACAGTCTGTTTCATGCTTCACTGCAATCTTCAGGCCATATGTGTTGTGTTTAGGTTCGACTATTTATATATGCTGGTCAGTGGTGCATTATGGGTAGTAAGGTTTATTGTATTATCATGACGGTTATTGTGTAGGCGGTAATGGTTATGTTCCAAATTATTCTAAAGTCTAGAAATAATTTCCGTTGTGGTTATTTGTTAACGTCATACACGTCATTTATTATTGATTATTTAATAATTTTTGCTGATTATCTTTATTATTTTTAGTTGTATTTATGCGTGCATTTGTAGTTTGTTCATTTTTTTATTATTCATTAGATTTGTTTATTTATTTATTTAGAACGTTTACTTATTATTTATACAACGCGGATAATGTAAGGGAGTTTAGAGAAAGTCAATACTTTAAATTAAGCAAATAAGGTAACCAACTCTCGAGAAAAAATAACAATAAATAAATAAAATAAACCAAAAATATAAATGAATAAATACAAAATCAAGTAAATAATCCAAAAATTACTACGAATGCACACATAAACACAACTAAGTGTAATAATAATAATAATAATAATAATAATAATAATAATAATGAACGACAAATAATTAATAAGCATTACAATATAATACAATATACCTTACTACACATAAAGCACCCTTGACCAGCATATAGAAATAGTTGAGCCACAACGCAACACACATGGCCTGAAGATTGAGTTCAAGCATGAAACCGATTGTAACCGCTTGGTGTTTACTTTTATATTTACATATGCTCTATCTCTGATATTGAGCACTTCTACCCAGAAATATAGCATAACTTCAAACTATATTTTTATTATATATATATATATATATATATATAAGATAATATCTTAGGAATTAATGGATTTTATTTTTAATCCGACATTATTTCTTATTATTCTAAACGTCATATTATGTGGATACACTTTTTTGAGTAGACACCCAGATGTTTTGTGTTTTTTTAAAATTTTATTTGTAAATTTCCTTTATTAAGTCTCTCGAATGTCCAGGCCGGCAGACACAATTCCCACTTAATTAAAATTAAAAAAAAAAACACAAAAATATTCAAATTTAATTTAAAATTAAAAAACGAAAACAACAACAAAAAATTTCCTTTCTTAAAAGAGATATTGGATAAGAGATATGTATGAACAAATAAGAAAATAAAAATTCAGCATTAACGAAATTAACTCACTTCAGTTTATTAAGCATTAAATTACTTTGCGTCCCCCATAGCTTACCTTTACTTACAGTTTTAAGAATATTTTAGAGTGTTTTTAAATTTAAAAAAATTGAAAATTTAATGATATTTTTTACTTCTGTTTATAAATACACGTTTTTGAATGAAATCCTTACATTTACCGTATAAGGCCACATGAACACATTGGCTATGAGTTTCCAAGAATGTCCGTCTACTACTAATTCCTGTGGCAGACGCCCGCACATGGACATTTGTGTTTTTTCAACATTTACAGAGTGAAACGATGGTTTAAGCTGCAGAAATGCTGTGCAGACCTCAGTGTCTGACATGACACTAGTTGAAGAAGACATTCAAACTTCACGCTAACTCACAACCATCGACTGCTTCCGACCAGTTGCGTTTCTACCCAATTTCACTCACACTAGACGCTTCGATCAACTAGTAGGGTGACGGTTTTCATGGACTTCACAACTGTGCCGACTGCTGGGATCGTGTCTGTCTCTCTCCACATATATATAATTTAATTTGGGCACCTCGGCGTGGTGTAATGGTTAGCAAGCTTGTCTCGCTAGATCTGTTACGACTGAAAAGGGAGTTCGATACTTACTAGGTGCTCTATACTTTCGGCCTTGTGCCACATCTAAGCTACGCTTAGAAAATAACCATATATAATTTAAATTTGGTTTTATTATCAAAAAAATATTTGTTTAAGATTTATTTTAATTTTTCTTCTATTCGGACCATTTTTTTCTGGTTTCCGGTGAAAATTGAAACATAATACCTTTTGAGTGCTTTTGGCTTTCATAAACCATTATTAAACAATGTTTCGTGGGTTGATAAAATTTTCTCTATAGGAAAGCATTAATCTTTCTTTGGTAGTTTTCAAGTTTCATGTCTTCTCTTTTTTTTCCGGTATTGCGTCTTCTCATGTCTGTTCGTGGTATCGCGTCGTTTTTGTGAAATATATTTGCTATGTTTTATGTTGTGTTGTTTCTATGCTTAAGTAGTCGTTTTTTATAGTTTATGTGGTATAGCATTTTTGTACAATATTTGCCGGATTTCTTGTATTTTACTGCTGAGTTGTCTAGTGCTATGCAATTTAATTGACTTATTAGATACATTGCAATTTAACCAGCGTGATAACGTACTGATTGTATAACCAATATACGTGTTCTTTAAATTATTATTATTAGAAAGAATTATCTAAGTGCGCAAAGGAATTCGTAGACAGCATTTGTTTGTTGAAATTTTATTTTCTTCTGTCATTGATGGCGAGCATTTTGTCGATGTATAAGACTTCTTGATTTTTTTTCGTCCAGTTTGTGATCATTGTGTACTTGTCTTTTTGTTAATATTGATAATTTAATGATTCTTTTAATACAGACATTATTTGTATTATTGTTATTTTTTATTTGTCTAAGTTTAATTTGTTTATCTATTCAATAGTTAGAAATATTCTTATTAATGTCTGTTTTTATACCTTGTGTTTATTCTAAAATAGTAAAATCGGTGTAGAAGATATTAAATAGACTTTATCAATCTTTGAAAATAACTCAATTCCTAATTTCACATATGAACTCAATTCATAATTGAGAACAATTCCTAATTGAGAACAGAATCCCACTTTAGACATACCATTCGATTTTTTTTAAAGCGTCATCTATAAGAAACCACCAACCCATATTCATAGATACTCCACTATAGCAGTGAATTCCAACACAAATACAAAATAGCCATAATAAATAACTTAATGATTAGAGAGCATTTGATATTCTCTACACGCACAATAAAATATTTAATCGTCAGCGACATTGATGGCAATTCTGTTCTATATTATAAAAAGTGTGCTGCCTGTGGATCTCATACCACATATTTTTACCGTAGTCAGATGCTGTCACACATACTGGATACACTGAGACGCTGTTCATCGAAAGAGGCCAGAACGTTTGCTAAATAATCTTTCGGCTGCACGATAATTCCACACCACAGGCGGACAACCTAACAAAAGAGTGGCTCTACCATTAATGTGGCTGCGATGTTTTACCGCATCTTCTGCACTGTCATGTCATGACTCCTTTCTATTTGGCTACCTCAGACGACATTTATCTGGAAAGTAGTTCCACAGAGATGACGCAGTTGTGATAGAGAGAATCGAGATTGGAACCATTCACTTGACACTATGTTCATCAAAAAGCGTATTTATGCACTCGTGTACCGATGAAAGAAGTGCATGAACTTCGTTGATGACAACACATGT